TACAAATTCAGTCCCATTAAACATATTTTATTAGCCTACATGACACCCATGTCTGGTTCTTGCCTAAAAAGACTGGGTTTATGATATTTGTAGTTAATAGATTTGGCTGCTTTTAGCCTTACCCTGGAGTTGGTCCACCCTCCGCCTATGGCTGCACACACTCGAATATTTGGGTTGAACTGTTCTGGAACAGTGTTGTAAATACAACTTAACCACTGATTTCTAGTCGTGTCCTCTTTTGGAAGGCCAAACAAAGTAGTTCCGCTTTCACAACGAAACACAGCATCTCCACGACATGGCGGTGACGACAACAACAATACTGCAGCGAGAATAAAAGTTAGGCTACGCCTTCTTTCTTTGCGTGAACATTTGGGCGGCATTATGCAAATCTTCCCACACAGTGACGTAGATATGTGGGGGCGTGTTAGAACGAGCTGTTTTAGGTAGGTGTGGTTGACTCGTAACATTTATAAAGAATATCTCTTTGGATTTGAGACTTTAGTCTTTGCAACTTTACAGATCTTCTTTATGCACCAAGAGCTTGTAACACTCCAAAGAGAAAGGAAAAATTGAAATCGCATCATATGACCCCTTTAAAGTTTGAATGCATTTTTAAAATTCAAAATAACAGGTTTCTTTAATTGCACATATTTCTAACAACAAGCATTTGAGAGCTCACTTTCCTGCTTAAAATACATTACAGTCTGCACTCGTGAATTACATTACAACGTGTGAAAATGCCTCTGTGTGCGAGCATGCTCAGATGCCGCAGTCGTCCCGCCTCTAACCCTGTTCTCCCACTGGAAGTCTCATGCGCCCTTGTGCACTTCCCCATACACATTCCAGGGCAGCAAGTGATGCATAGCATAGGCCATGGCTGGCTGCACAACAGAAGCCTCCTAGAGCCGTTACCCACAAAGCCTAGCTCGAGAAACATGTCACACCGCAGTTCTAATACATGTGATAATCACACAGGGGCCCGTTTCACCCACATTTCTCACCTTGCACAGCATCACATCACCGCTTGGCAAACACGTCTTGTGATTTTACCACATCATCAATGCACTTGCAATCACTCTAGGAGAGGACCCCCCCAACTTACCATGCAAATTAGCAGCAATCCATCCGAAGATCAGGTAAGAAAATCATGACTGTAATGTCAAACGCTTGAGACGGGCAGAGTGCTGGAAAACAAAATGTGGCCTCTTGTATCTTCTCTTATCATGCCTGATGGAGAATGCGGGAGGTGGGTGGAGGTAGGTTTCAAACACCTGGTATTTGCAGGCACACCCTGTCCTTGAGTCAAGGGCTAAATGATCCAGGATAAGACATCTGGGAAATAAATCACACCAGAAAGAAAACATCAGAACTGCTTTAATCTAGGGCTATAAATGCTAACAAGCGTGAATAAACTAAGTTTACTCCAAACTAAAAGATGAATGGTAATTCTTAGTTAGTGCTGGGTAGATCGCTTCTGAAACTGATTACAATTTATATTACTCAAATTTGTAAGATTGCACTCAAAATCTAATCTGATTACTTCTGGACTTCTTATAATCTAATTCTTGTTTAATTAGTGTTTGCCACAAGAATAATAATGTGCTGTTTGACAAAATGAAGCAAAAAGGATGTACACTTTTATTAATAACACAAAGAACCTTAAAGTCAGCATGAAATAAGCATTCATCCTATCTATTTGTAAATGCATGTTAAATATCTTATTGTGAACAACTCGTCCATGCATATGTAATGTTACGTCATAATGTGCATAATGTAATCATGTCATAACTGGACCTTCACTCTTTAAAATAAAGTTTCCAAAAGGGTGGTTTTGCAGTGATGCCATAGAAGAACCATTTTTGGTTCCCAAAAGAACCTTTAATTGAACAGTTCCTAAAAGGACCATTTGATGAACATTTTAAAAATCTAAAGAACCTTTTTCGACTATAAAGAACCTTTTCTGCGATGTTCAAGGTTCTTCATAGAACCATTGATGCCAATAAAGAAGCTTTATTTTTAAGAGTGTTCCACTGAAAATGACAGACTTCTTGCTGGTAACACATGCAAGGCAATCATTTAAACTGTCTGAAAAGATCTTTTCTATTGCTACTTTCATTTCATTGCTACTTTAAATGAATTATTGCATGTACTGATAAAAATCAAATAGCTAATTAATCAAATAGTCAAAGAGCGTTAATTAAAATATTCAAATAATAATATTTCATTAATATTAAACTAGATAAGTTAACTGGTTAACTAGTAAATTTGAGTCTTTAGTGAAGAATTTATTATAAGACATTCAATTTTGGAAAGCAAAGATTGCATCGCAGTGCTATTGTACCCATAAAATTAATAAAAACTAAAAATAAATCTAAACTGATAATGTGCAGATTACATGTCCTCCTTTACTATCTGACACTGGTAACACTATTGTAATAACCCTTAAACTTCAAAAATTACATTTTGGTTGTTTTAACTAGGCTTTATCGACAAGTGAAACGAGGTCAATATTTCTGCAAGGCAATACACTGCAATACTACATTAATCTTACTTTATCTATCACAGCTAAATGTGGGAAAACCCAAGCATATCAGTAATAAAAAGTATATTGAAGTATACAGATTTACTGGCTTTCATTTTCAGTGTATTACCGTTTCATTTGAGTTTTCAATGGTGAAACAAAAAATAAATAAATAAATAAATAAAAAATAGTACAAATCTGTGCATTTCATTTGTGTGGAGCGGGTTACTATTGCTTGGTTTTAATGAATGGATTCAGTGACAAATCACCCGATTTGACACCCGAAATGTTCCCCACATGAAACAGATTGTTTCACACAACCAGCTGCATTGTAAAACCAGAAGCACCAGTGAATGGGAGGAACTTCACAACTTGTATGATGATGAATGGTGGAACAATCAGCCCTCCTCCGAAAGGAAACTCTCATCAATAACTGAATGCAGGAAAAATAATTACAGGCAAGTCCGAGAAATAATATACAAACTCAAAAAAAGATATATTTAATTTAATGTCAATCGTGAGAAAATGGTCGGCTATGAAAGAGGTAAATATAAAAGTTACATTAGGACGAAAAGTCATAGTTTAATTTCTTAAGTATAACAATATAACACAATGTTCCGTGATATACAGATATAGACGGCTGTCCTCCCGTTATTCGCCTTCATTCCGGTTGCAGTGGCTGTCTGTGGAATCAAACGCGGCTGTGTGTCAAAACCTACTGAGGATCCTACCTAGACCGCATGTTTAGGGATTGTTGGTACATTAACGATGGTTTAAACGGCCCTACCAAGTCACCAAACGCCGACGAGCGTTATAAATGCTGTTGGAACATCTCAGCCGCTCGAATAAGGTCCAAAAATGCTGTCTAGGTAGGCAGCTCGCTGGGTTTTGCGACACAACCAGCATCTTTACTAAAGTCATCGCAGGTAAAGCCTAAATCATTTCTATCACAAGACAGCGCGGTGCAATTGAAAGTAATGGGCAAACTGTTCCCTAAAGCCGAGATATTTTTCACAGGCGAAATGTAACTGCCACTTTATTCTATTTTCGCAGCCGCTCTTTGATTTTCTAAGCGCAAGGAAGCAACGGCTAGCGCATTAGCTGGCGAGCTAGCGGGACCTCCGAGACCGTTAAAGAGCGTATGTCGCCTTACCCCTTTTGTTCTAGATGTCAATCTTCTAAAAGGGTGTCGTTACACGTGTTTATGCGGATATCGGGGGTATCACGCGTTGAGATTACATGCTGCCGTTTTATCTCCATCAGAGGTGTTTTCCGTCCATCCGCCCAACTTCAGCACCGAGCGAGCCAGTGGAGACGCCCTGCGCATGCGCGGCGGAGCTGTCAGCTCACGGAGCGCGAGGCGAGCTGCGGACAGGGTGCAGAGGCAGAGGTGCAATGACAGGCTGAGATTCTGCTCTCTCACAAAAATGTGTTGCCTGCTGCACTAATATATATACATACACAACACACATAACCGACGTAAAAAGGCTCTGTGGCTCACTATAAAACATTGTGTGTGTGTGTGTGTGTGTATATATAGGCCCTGTATTAGACAGTAATGTTACAAATTAGCAAAAAAAAAAAATCCATGAATTTAATTTTTATTTAATTTAATAAATATTTATTTGTTTATTTGTTTATTTATTTTACAATTTCAGTTACTTTATTGACAAATGTTTTGCAAACTATACCCAATTTGCACACAATAGAATTGCTAAAGCACTTCTATTGTAAAAGAAAAGTAATAAAATAAAAATATAGATCTACAATACAGAAAATAACTTGCTGCAATACAGTAGAATTTCATCAAAACTTTGTCATACAGTTTCATTTTTAATGTTGAAGTCTAAATGACTCTTACAGGCCTGATTATCATGCAAAGCTATTACTGAACAACAAAAATGCAAGGAAGAAAACAACCTCCTAACCAGCACTGTAATAACAATACATAAATTCTGCCTGGTGAAATGTATTTTTAAATATCACAAGGTTGAATAAATGAGCAACAAATAAAATGCAACATATATTTATGCATTATATTTATTTTGTATTATGTTTTTTTTTTTCTCCTGACACTTGACAAATCTCCTGTCTGATTCAAATTCAGTTATAGAAATGAGTTGCCAAGATACACACAAATCAGAAAATTATAGAAAACTGTGTAATTCTTCATTATAAATTATGTCTTTACACACACAAAAAGCAATTTATAGACATGAATACTCAAGATGACTGTTTTTAATGCATTTCTCATAGAGTGATGTTGCTACAAACCACCATTGCAACACTTTGCTATCCACTAGGAGGCACTGAGACCACAGCACTCTGGTCATAGTAGGATAAGCCACCTCTATCAAACTGATGCTTCTCTTTATCATGCCTGTGAGGTGCAGATATACTAAAACTCTTTATAGTGGTTATTAAGTTAGACTGCCAACTGGGAATTGTTTGTTTAATGAAAGATAATCCATAATGCAGTCAGTTCTTTTTGAAAATAATGACAACAGATAGCCAGTCCAGTGTATCAAAAATATTAGTAGTATTAGCACATCATTTCTATAATGTTTTGTAATGACAATTTTCATTATTACACATCGTTTGTAGTGCTTTGTGTGAAACAGCATCCACATTGTATAAAACAGTTATTTTTTTTTTTTTTTTTTTTTTATATTACTAAATCACCCCTCTGTTGTACAATTAAAAACATTACAGGAAACCTACCTATGCCTTGGAGCTAGAGCTTGTGCCCACACTGCCCAGACTAATAAAACTTGCTTCTTGCACCTGTGGAAAGATGCTGAAGATCATTTCCAGTCCTAATAGCTGTTCTAAAATTCCTCTCGCTCTCTCTCTCTCTCTCTCTCTGATGTCCTTAGTTTCAGTTATTTTATTGTAGAGCAAATAACTTTATATCATGTCAATAAATGACAGATATAATAAAATGTACAATAAAATTTAAACAAAAGCAAGTTATGTTTTGTTGTTGCTTGGTTCTGTGGTCAGGCCTTGGTCATGGAGTCATGTATCATGATGAGCTTGTTTAAATAAAAGGTCTGATCAAAAACACTCCTCACACCTCTTCTAAACATTTAAGCAGTACAGCTGCCTGGATACGGTGAGTTCTGTGATTCATTGCCTTCAGATTATTTAGGATTAGCTTTTGGTTTTGGTTTCTTTAATATTCGATTTATTCATTTATGTTTTAAATGTACTGAATGGCTTCCTGTCAGGGTTTTGTCCTTGAGTGCTTCAGCAAAATTTTCTCTCTATTAATCTTAATACTTGAGTCATCTAAGCAGGTGTATCTAGTAGTGCAAGACCAACGTTTGCCATTATATTAGCATTTTTATTATCACTTGAGGTTTAGTATTTGATTTACCACTTGACTTGTAGTATATCCTTGGTTACTGTTATATAAATGGTGGGCACACGTACAAATATTTTCTTGGAGAGCACAGAAATGTGACAAGAATACAAAATAAAGGGGTCATATGATGCGATCTCAATTTTTCCGTTCTCTTTGAAGTGTTACAAGCTCTTGGTGCATAAAGAAGATCTGTAAAGTTGCAAAGACTAAAGTCTCAAATCCAAAGAGATATTCTTTACAAAAGTTAAGTCAACCACGTCTACCTAAAACTGCTCGTTCTAACACGCCCCCAACATATCTACTTCATGATGTGGAAAGATTTGCATAACGCCACCCAAATGTTCACACAAAGAAAGAAGGCTTAACTTTTATTCTCGCTGTAGTATTGTTGCTGCCGCCATGTTGTGAAGGCGCTGTGTGTTTTGTTGTGAAAGCGAAACTACTTTGTTTGGCCTTCCAAAAGAGGACGATATCCCCTTCATCGTGCCTGGAGCTGATCTGTGCTGGTCGCTGAGGAAAAACATCAACTTCGCGCTGTGGATCGCCGGATCGGCTTTCACCGTGGACGAAGCAGAGTCCAGCCTAGAGCTCTGCACTGGCCTCAAATATAGGCCCTATCCCGGCCCGTGTCCGACAGCTCATCAGAATTCTTGGCCCGAGTCCGACCCGAGCCCATCTTTTTTTACCCCTTCTCCCAAAACAGCTTATACTACTGTTTCAGCTATTAAAATAGTTAAGTTTTGTATACAATGTCAAAGTGATTATATTTCGTTTGTTTTTTTTATTAAGTTAATTTAGAAAAACGTTTGGAGCATTTTTTTGTTCGTTAAATGTAAGTTTTTGTTTTTGTAAAGTAACGACCAAGCGGCCAGCGGCAGACAGTGAGTTGATCATAGCCTATGTTTGATCAATTTAGCCTTCTC